ATCTTAGCCCTTGACTTGGGGTTGTCAGCACCACGCTCTCCCAAGTGAGCGAACTGGCCATCCCTATATGGGATCCGAACCCATGGCCTTGGTGTTATCAGCACCGCACTCTGCTGAGTGAGCCACGGGCCAGCCCATCTCAGTGTTGTTTTAATTTGCATTTCCCTGATGACATATGATGTGGAGCATCTTTTCATATGTTTATTTGCCATCTGTATATCTTCTTAGGTGAGGTATCTGTTGAGATCATTGGCACATTTTTAAATTGCGGTGTTTATTTTCTTATTGTTGAGTTTTAAAAGTTCTTTGTATATTTTAACTAACAGTCCTTTTTCAGATACGACTTTTGCAAACATTTTCTCCCAGTATGTGGTTTGTCTTTTCATTCTCTTAACAGTGTCTTTTGCAGAGCAGAAATATTTAATTTTAATGGATTAGCTTATCAATTCTTTCTTTCATGGATTATGCCTTTGGTGTTCTTTGTATCTAAAAAGTTATCACCAATCCCAAGGTCACTTGGGATTTTCTCCCATGCTGTCTTCTAAGAGTTTTATAGTTTTGTGTTTTACATTTAGGTCTCTGATCATTCTGAGTTAACTTTTGTGAAGGGTATAAGGTCTGCATCTAGACTCATTTTTTTGCATGTGGATGTCCAGTTGTTCCAGCACCCACCATTTATTGAAAAGATTATCTTTTCTCCATTGTATTGCCTTTGCTCCTTTGTCAAATATCAGTTGACTGTATTTATATGGGTTTGTTTCTGGCTCTCAATTCTGTTGCATTGATCTATTTGTCTATCCTTTTGCCAATACCACACTGTCTTGATTACTGTAGGTTTATTGTAAGTCTTAAAGTTGGGTAATGTCAATCCTCCAACTTTGTTCTTCTTTCAAATTATGCTGACTAATCTAGGTCTTTTGGCTTTCCATATAAACTTCACAATCAGCTTGTTGGTGTCTACAAAATAACTTGTTTGGATTTTGACTGGGATGGCATTGAATTTATAGATCAAGTTTGGAAAAACCGACATCTTTACAATACCGAGTCTTCCTATCCAGGAACATAGAATATCTCTTCACTTATTTAGTTCTGTGTTTTCTTTCATCAGTATTTTGTAGTTTTCCTTCTATAGATCTTAGGCATATTTTGTTAGATTTACACCTAAGTATTTCATTTTTTTAGGTGTAAATGTAAATGTTATTGTGTTTTTAATTACACATTCTACTTGTTCATTGCTGGTATTTAGGAAAGTCTATTAACCTTGTATCCTGCAACCTTGCTATAATTACTTATTAGTTCCAGGAGGTTATTTTCTTCTCAATTCTTTCAGATTTTCTAAATAGATGATCACGTCATCAACAAACAAAGACAGTTTTATTTCTTCCTTCCCAGTTACTATACCTTTTATTTGATTTTCTTGTCTTATTGCATTACCTAGGACTTTCAGTACAATGCTGAAAAGTAGTGGTGAGAGGGTACATCCTTGCCTTTTTCGTGATCTTAGCAGTAAACCTTCTAGTTTCTCACCATTAAGTATGATGTGTTAGCTATAGGCTTTTTGTAGATGTCCTTTATCAAGCTGAGGAAGTTTTTCTTTATTCCTAGTTTGCTGTGATAACTTTATTCTTTTGCATGTCAATATCCAAATGTCTTAGCAGCACTTATAGAGAAAGGACAGGCTTTTCAATAAATGGTGATTGAATCCAGTCAATTGAATGTGAGTAGAAGTGATGTGAGCATTTTCCTGACCAAGGATTTAAAGAAAGAGGTGGACTACCTCTGCTCTCCTTTTCTCCATTTTTCTGGCTGAATGTAGGCTATGATGAGATAGGAAGTGATGGTTAGGTAATGAAAAACACCAACAAAAGGTAATATGGACTTCTTTTTTTCTACTTTGAAAAGTAATTAGCTCCCCTCACCAACTCCTGTAGTACTAAAATCCTCAAGGGGTATTTCCATGTTATGAATTTCAGTGATTTTTTTGTGATTCTGCCAGTTGCTGCCATTCTAAGCTTTATTACCAAGCACTTATATCTCTCAAACTGTTCCCTCTAATTTTCCCAATCACCAATTATACAGACAGTCCTCATGATGTCAGAGCTGAGTAGTAGTCAAAACTTTAAAGCCATGTTGTAGAGGAGGATGTTTTCCTCTCTTCACATTATGCTTTATTAATGGGATCTTCACACTGGAGTGTTATAGAGTTTGTTTGGAAGCAGTTTTTTGGAATTATTTATAAACCTTCTTTCGCTGTGACAGACATACAGTTGAGGGCTTGTGTTGGAACAGGCATAAGTAAGGATCCTAATCCCAGTGCTGCCATCAGAAGAGCTATACTTCTCTCATGACAAGGCATTGTTCATTAGGATAAGGTCATTGTGCCTGACTCTGTTTGCCCTCAGGATGAATTCTCTTGAAGCAGACCCTACCCCAAATATGACTTGAAAATATTCATGGGTCAGGACTCTTTACCAGTTCTGCAAATGTGCCCTGTCTCAGCCTTTCCCAGAGCATCTTCAGCCTGTATTCAAAGTAGACATCCACTGGGCTCATTTCACTAGTTCACCAGACCCATCCCAGCCTAGCTGGCCCTGGGTGCAGCTCCTGACACTCAGGGATAGGAGAAGGGGATACATTCTAAGAATACACAGGGTTTGGCTCAACCTAGACTAAATGGGAGGTACCAGAGGGAAGGTTTGCCTGAGACCTGAGAAGGACAGTAGAAGGCAAGTTAAACTAAATGGGCAAAAACAGATCCATGACCACAGTGAATGAGAAGGACAGGAGGTAATCATGCGAGCTGCACCAGCAAAGGATATGCTACTATGTAAGTTCACAAGCATGCATGTGGGATGTGGGGTGGGGCTTGGGGGAGAACCGTGGGTATGGTAAGTTAGCAAGGCTGCCTCTGTGTCCCACGATTAATCCTTGTGTGTTACTTGGCTCTGAAATTTAGATTTCAGGAGTAAATCAGGGTTACAAAGGTACTAGTGGAGGCACTAGGGAGTAGAAACATAGCTGTTGCAATTTGTTGGAGTGGAATCCACTTTAGGAGGAAGTAAATATTGCTTAGCAATCAGAATATAGGTCAGCATCTTATTTCAATCTTTTATTTGCTCTCCTATATTAAAGATAATACTATCTGATACATAAACACAAAAGAGCTAAAACACACAAAAAGCTTAAAATAGGGCTTTTCTCAGTACAATAAATGTTAACAAATAAAAGACCTTGTTTTCTAAATGAACTGACAACAAATTATCCAATAGGTATTTAAAAGTCTCACACAGTAAAACCCGTCAGCTTTTCGTAGAACCACTCCTCTGTCAGTAAATACCTTGGTATAAAGATTCCAGCACCTCTAGAAAAATGAGAGAAGCTTGCACTGGTGTAATTTTGGACATACCTGTAAAACATAGAGAAAGGAATATGTGGCTGTAGTCTTGAGAGATGAGCCCCAAAATAGGTCCTCCCAGGGACTGAAGCACAGGTAAAGAAAGACAAGGGGAATGAATAGACTTTATAACGATAGTGACTGGATTTCATTCATACTGCTACTATAACAAACTACTACAAGCTTGGCAGCTTAAAATAACACAAGTTTATTATATTACGGTCCTGGAAATCGGAAAACTGAAGAAGGTTTCACTACGCTAAAACCAAGGTATTGGCAGAACTGCTTTCTTCCTGGGGTTTCTAGGGGGAGAATCTGTTCCTGTCTTTTCCAGTTTCTAGAAACGGCCTGCATTTCTTGGCTCCAGGGTTCCTTCTATTTTCAAAGCCGATAATGTTCTGTGTAGACTTTCTTATGCTGCCTCCCTCTTCCATATCTAAAGTATCCTTCTGATGACATTGGCCAGCATAATCCACCGTAATATTTGTTAAATTCAGTTCATTAGAAACCTCAATTCCATCTGCACCCTTAAAAAGTAACATAAAATGTTCACATGTTCCAGAGAAGAGGACCTGGACATCGTTGGGGGGCCGTTATTCTGCCAAACACAGTGAGAGTGGCATTTAAACGAGTTTTAAAATGGACAGCAGTAACAGCATCAGATTTGTCCATAATCACAATGCTCTGTTTATCTATTTAGAAAGCAGGGAAAGGAAAGGCTCAATAGGAAGGATGTGGGGCCTAAAGGATAGGATTCAAAACCAGCCAGGTTTCTGTCTCGGGGAAGTGGGTTCGTGGTGTGGTCNCCACAGGCTCCTAGTTGATGTCAAAGTCTCCTGTCCGCGCGGCAGGTATGGTGGATTCTGCCAGGCCACAGTGCAAGTCTGTAGAGGAGAGGCTTGAGAAAAAGGAGGAGCGGGAAAATGGCCTGGATTTCTGGAGGTGTGTGGGGTTGGGGGGTGGGCGGCAGGCACTGACTGGAGACTCGAATCGGGGTGGGGTGACTGCGGCCAGAGCAGGTCAGTCATCCAGGTGCACCTCCTAATCTTCCCCTCTCTATCAGCCTTCCAGGAACTTCCCCCATCTTCCTCCCACACCCTCCCAAATTGGGGGCATGAAAAGATGGGCTTTGGAGGTGGGGATGATGAGGGCGTCCTGATTACAAGTACCTCTTCACAACCTGCCTTCTAGAATATGCGGAGCCCTTCCCCCATTTTGTGCTGCGCAGGACAAGGGGATGTAGTACACCTAGTGGTGAATCCTTAGAATTGGAGAAGGGAGTAATGGGAAGACTATGACGTCAAGAGAAGGAGTTATTATCTCTGGAACCCTGAAACAGAGCCTAACTAAAATGAGAGTATTCCACCAGCAGGACCCGCAGTGCTTGAAGGACATAATATGGGGATTTCTTTCCTCCTTGGTGTTGGTCTGTCCACCAAGCACTCAGCTGCTTACCATCATTTCCTGACTGTCTTACCTTTTCATCTGTTTGTCCATAGGCCTGCTTTAAGGCTGGTCAGTTCTGCAAGAAAGGAAAGGAGGAGACTGGCTCAAATCTCTGTGGAGGTTGGTGAGAAGGGGGGCAATGCAGGGGACAGCCACAGAGGAAAGAGCATGGCAGGAGGCTTTGATTCAAGTGGGTACAAGACTGCTTCTACTGCTACTTCTGCTCTCTGCTAGATTTGCACGCTGCCACAGCCTCCCTTGTCCATTTCGTGCAGGACATATTAAGAATGTTGAGGGAGGTGTAGGTTTAGCTGTGACTGGGAGGAGAAGACCTGAGAGCCGGGCCCAGGAGACAGGAACTGTGAGACAGATTGGACCTTGAATGGAAAAAGTGATATTTGTCTCAGGGGCCAGGGTGTGTGCTATCTACCAAGCACTCAGACTCCATTCTCTCCTGTTACTTATCTGTAGGACCCCCTGCAGTTGGCTCTGGGGTTTAAGGCCACTTGAACAAGGAAAGGAGGGGAAAATTGTACCACATCTGTGAAGGTTCGTATGAGAGTGGGTACACCTTTGGGTGGGGTAATAGAGTCCAGCATGGGTCCAGGAGTGATTACGGTCCAGTCTGGGTGGTCCTTAGCCTCTCTCATTGCCAACATACTTTCCCACCATCCCTGTGCCCATTTTATAGCAGGCAACAGGGACAGAGAGTCTTTCTCATAGTCAGGTATATGGCCCAACATTCAACATCAGTCTCTCTGTGTAAGTCTCTGCACAGGGTGACACACTTGGAAGAGACTCAAAGCCCCATTTCGTTCTCTCTTCCTAGATCCACATCCAGTGGCAGCTCTGGTGGTGTTGGAGTTGCTGCTGACCACCACCCTCAAAGGTCTGCACCCACCCAGGAACCATCCATCCTCCCCCAGCTTGGTTGTGCCTCTTCTGCACTTTGTGTTATTAACTGAGACTGTGCTTGGGAAGGAGGGTAACTTACTTCTGGACTGGGGATTGACTTTATCTCTTGTTCCAACCTTATAGCCTAAATCATCAGAAGACCAGAGTGTGAAGAAGCAAGTGTGTGACAGATCTGTGGCTGAGGCTGAGACTAGGGGAGGGGTACATACCTGGGCTTTGTCTGTAACCTGTGCCATGACCGGGACGGAGATTGAACCTGGTGCTCAGGCTATGCATGAAATGAAAGCTAGAGAAGAGGTTGTGGGTAGGGCTGAGATAGAGAATGAAGCCCGTCTGGTGGTTAGACCCAGGATTAGGACCCAGGCCCAGTTGACTGGAGCAAGGCCCAAAACTAAGACCAAGATTATGCCTAGAGCAAGTCCCAAAATTGAGGCTAGTGCAGTGGGTAGGTCATGTCTAAAGAATAAGGCCAAATCATTTCCTGGGTCAAGATCCAAGCATGAAGCGCAGGTGTGTCTCCAGCATGAGTCTGCGGCTGATGCAATATCAGAAACAGCGGAAGAGCCCCAGACCAATGCCATAGTGTCTCCACTCTTCAGTTCCGATTCTAGGTCACTTACTAAAACTAAGTGCCTGTCTGTGGATAGAGAACTGGTTAATATGTGCAATGAGAGCTTTCCTCGAATGAAGGCCCACTACCAAGCGGGAATTCAGCCTTCATTTGAGTCTGAGGAGAAGACCAATATTGGGTCCTGGTGCCATCCCAGGCCTACATCAAAGCAAGAGGTTTCTCACAATTCTGATTTTAGACGGGTAGACAAATCCTCTCTGAGTTCCTGGTCCTGGAGTAGAGATGAGGTCATTGCCAGATTTCATCCTAGGAACAGGATAAAGGCCAGTACCAGGTCTAGGCATATGGCCAAACAGTATGCTAATACCATGTCTAGGCCCCAAACCAATCAGCACCTCTATATTGTATCTAGTTCTGGTTCTGAGGATGAGTCTGTTATGAGTTCCTGGCTTGGGGCCAGAGAAAAAACCAATACCTGGTTCAGACCCAGGAAAGAGGCCAATAGCAGGTCCAAGTTTAGGTCCAAAAAAGAAGTTTGTGTTGAGTCCAGTTCTGGGTCTGAACATGAAGTCCATATGAAGTCCTCATTTTGGGACGGAGAGGAAGCCAAATCCAGGTCCAAACCGAGGTCCAGGAAAGGGACCAATACCAGGGCCAGGCACAGGGCCAATCGACAAGCTTGCATTGATTTCATGTCTGGGTCTATAGATGTAATAAAAAAACGAGTCCTGGTTCTGGCCTGGAGAAAAGGCTAATACCTTTTCAAGGCCCAAGATCAAGAAAGAGGCCAGGGCTAAAGCAATAGCAAAGGAAGAGGCCAAAATCAAGGCCAGAACCGGGGCCAAACATGAAGCCAGGTCAGAGGGAGAGGTCCTCATCGGGACCTGGTTCTGGGCTACAGAAGAGTCCAGCATGGTGGATGGGGCCAGCATCAAATCCAGTCCACACGTGGAGGATGAGTCCATTGTTGGAAGTTGGTTCTGGACTGAAGAAAAGGCCAGTATGGGGACTGTAGCCAGCAGTAAATCCAGACCAGGGCCTGAGGAGGAGCCTCATAGCAATTCCTGGCTTGGGGTTAGAAAAAAGACCAGTATGGAGACTGGGGCTGAGGCCACCTCTGGATCTGTACTAGCAGCTGATGATGAAGAGGTCATTGTTGGTTCCTGGTTCTGGGCTGGTGAAGAAGTCAACCCAGAGGCGGAGGAAGAGACCATATTTGGGTCTTGGTTCTGGGTCATTGATGAGGCCAGTGTGCAATCTGGTGTCAGGGTCAGCTGTGAGTCCAGGCCAAGGTCTGAGGAAGAAGAGGCCAGTGTGCAATCTGGTGTCAGGTTCAGCTGTGAGTCCAGGCCAAGGTCTGAGGAAGAAGAGGTCATTGTGGAATCTGGTGTCAGGGTCAGCTGTGAGTCCAGGCCAAGGTCTGAGGAAGAAGAGGTCATTGGTCCCTGGTTCTGGGGTGGAAAAGAAGTTGATTTAGAGGCTGGAGTTGGAGAAGAGGCCAGGCCAGTTGCTGAAGAAGAGACAATATTTGGGTCCTGGTTTTGGGCTGAAAACCAGACCCATATAGATTCTGGGGCTGAAGGTAGCTCTGACACCATGCCAGGGGTTGAGGAGGCAGAGCCCATTATTGGGTCTTGGTTCTGGGCCAGATTAGAAACTTGTGTGGAAGCTGATATCAACAAGTCTAGCCTGGAGGCTGAGGAAGAGGCCATTGAATCATCTTGTTTTGGGACCAGAGAAAAAGTCAGTATGAAGTGTGGGGCTGCTGCCAGATGCAAAATTATGGCAGGGGCTAAGAAGACCAATAATAGATCTTGTTTTGGGGCAAAAGAAGAACCCTGTATGTATCCTGACAATGGAGGAAGCTGGAAGTCTAGGCCAGAGGAGGAAGAGGACACTTTTGATTCATGGTTCTGGTCCAGAAAATATGGAAGGCCAGAGGCCATTATAGGCTCCTGGTTATGGGCTACAGAAGAGTGCAGTGTAGATGATGAAACTGGGGAAGAGATTAAGCTACCAGCTGAAGAGGAGACCATGATCAATTCCTGGTTCTGGAAAGAAGATGAAGCCATTATGGAGGCTACCGACAGAGAAGAGTCCTGGCCAGAAACTGAGGAGGAGGATATTATTGGTTCTTGGTTCTGGGCTGGGGAAGAGGATAGACTCGAGGCAGCAGCTGAAGCTACAGAAGAGGACAGGCTAGCAGCTGAAGAGGAAGCAATTGTTGGATACTGGTTCTGGGCCAGGGAAGAGGCTGTTAGGAGAGAGGCTGGGTTTTGTAGCAAATCCAGTCTCAAAGCTGAAGAGGAGGAAGTCATTGTTGGGTCCTGGTTCTGGGAAGAAGAGTCCAGTCTGGAAGCAGTGGCAGAGGCCAGGTTTGAGTCCAAGCCTAGGACTGATGAGGAAGAAAATACTGTTGGATCCTGGTTCTTGGCTGAACAAAAAGCCAGTATGGAAGCTGGGTCTCAGGCAGTGGAAGCAAGTACTGAACAGGAGCCCATTTGGGGGTCTTGGTTCTGGGCTGGAAAAGATGTCAGTGTAGAAACAGGGACATGCTGTGTATCCAAGCCAGAGGATGATGAAGAGATGATTGTTGAGTCCTGGTTCTGGTCTGGAGATCAGACTGTTAAAGAAACTGGAACTGTGACCACTTGTGAGTCCAGGCCAGGAAATGAGGAAGGGGCAGTTTGGTCTTGGTTTGGTCTTGGTTTGGAGCTGAAGATGAGATGAATAATGAGACTGGCAATGAAACCAACTGTGAATCCTGAGTATTAGCTGATGAGGATGAGGCCATAGTGGGGTCCTGGTTCTGGGCAGGAGATGAAGCCTGTTTTGAATCAAATCCTAGCCCTGTATTCAGGGCCATTTGCAGGTCCACATGTCCAGTTGAACAGGAGACTGATCCTTCATGCAGGCCACAGAGCTGGGAGGAGGTCACTATTCAGTTCAAGCCTGGTCCATGGGGTAGAGTTGGCTTTCTGTCTGTAAGCCCTTTTAGATTTCCAAACCAAGCAGCATATCTGTTCTCTGAAATGTTTGGGGGAAAGCCCAAGTATGTGGAACTTAGCCCAGAAGAAGAAGATCAGGAATCTTTGCTTCAGCCTGATCAACCTGAACCCGAGTTTCCATTTCAGTATGATCCTTCCTACCGCTCAGTCCAGGAAATTCGAGAGCATCTTAGGGCCAAGGAGACTATGGAGACTGAGAGTTGGTCCTGCAGCTGCATACAATGTGAGCTTAAAATTGGTTCTGGAGAGTTCGAAGAACTCCTTTTATTAATGGACAAAATTCAGGATCCTTTTATTCATGAAATATCTAAAATTGCAATGGGTATGAGAAGTGCTTCTCAATTTACCCGAGATTTCATTCGGGATTCAGGTGTGGTCTCACTTATTGAAACCTTGCTCAGTTATCCGTCCTCCCGAGTTAGGACAAGTTTTTTGGAAAATATGATTCGCATGGCTCCACCTTATCCAAATTTAAACATAATTCAGACGTACATATGTCAAGTGTGTGAGGAAACAGTTGCTTATAGCTTGGATTCCCCTGAGCAGCTGACTGGAATAAGAATGATTGGACATCTCACTACTACTACTGACTATCATACACTGGTTGCCAATTATATGTCTGGGTTTCTCTCCTTATTAGCTACAGGCAATACCAAAACAAGGTTTTATGTCCTGAAAATACTACTGAATTTGTCTGAAAATCTTGTCATGGCAAAAAAACTACTCAGTGCTGAAGCAATGTCAGAATTTATGGGCCTCTTTAACAAGGAAGAGACAAATGACAATATTCAAATTGTTCTTGCAATATTTGAGAATGTTGGTAACAATATCAAAGAAGAGGCAGTGTTCACTGATGATAATTTCAATCTTGAGCCACTTATTTCTGCATTTCATGAAATTGAGAAATTTGCTAAGGAACTGCGGTGCAAAACATAATCAAAATGACCCTGAAGCAGAACAAAAAAAGTAATATCAATCACTTACCTCTGATTGTCCTTATGTCCCCGAGTTATGATCCTTGAGTGGTGCTTTGGTTTTCAAGTTATTTCTGTGTTGCAGTGTGCATCTTTAATGCCAATACTTTGCCCAACTCTCTCTTTCAGCTGGGTCATTTTTCTGATGCCAAATGAACGTTAGAACTGAAAACACACTTGTTGATATTTGTCTTGTCCAAATTGTGATATTTAGTATTTGAGCTTATAGTGAACTGAGCCATCATAAATAAGCTACCCTTCTGATTGTTGTTCTAATGTAATCTGTCTGAGTCTTGTTTGTGTTTCAGTAAAGTTCTATGTTAAAGTTGGCAGAAATCACCCTTCTCTTTGAACTTAAAATACAAACACAAAGGTAACAAACACACATGAACACAGAAATAATTAATGTATGAATAATAGTATAATACGCTCCTTGCAGAAGCTTTTTTCTCAGCTTTAAGTGCAAAGGTTACCATGGACTGCTACTCAATGCATGCTTCAGAGAAAAAGGACCCACTTAAGTTGGACTCTGAAGTGTAGGAAAGAGGTTGGTGGTTTAAAGAAAAGCATGGAGTTGGGAAAAGTGTTCCTGTGGGAGTCAGGTATACAATCTACCTGAAATGGGTGGGAGGAATATATGGAGGGACATAAAGGATGAGGTAAGTTTTGAAGAGCTGAGAAGCTGCATTTTTCAGCTCAAATTACAGCTGTTTCTTCCGGGCTACCTAAACCTTAAAATAATAAGACAGAAAAGCACAGGAATTTGATTGAGTCAGGAAGACGATTTAATCATGATGGTTCCCATGGCGAGTGTTAAGGCAGTATCATACAGCTAATAAAAGTGATGTATAGGTTTTTAAATTAACTAGGAAAAACCCTGATCCTTTCTATATTTGGCATAATAGAGAAGACTGGTCTTTTACATGGGAACTATCCCATTTAAAAAATAAATGTGAGTAAATGAACCAATAATAATTATGAAAAATAATACGATGACATAAAACATGTTAAAGGAATAAAGAGGTACAAGAGACTACAACTTCACAAGAACTGGCTTGCCAAATAGAAATACAAAACTATTTAAAGGGAATAAACTGTAAGATTACCAAAGTTCCTGAGTTCATTCCACATGTTTTTTACATTCACAAAGGTTGTAAAAGTGTTCAGACAGGAGCAAACGTCAGGGATAAAATTGGTTTGAGGAGAGAGTGCAAGATAAGAGGAAATAGAAAAAGTTCTATTTTTTCAGGAAAGAAGCTAGACAAAATGATCCTGTTACTTTTGGTTTGTTTCAGAGTGCAAAGTGCTTTTTACCCATCTGATTCTAGTATGTGAATGTTTATGGCAGTAGGGCAAAGTGCCTCCCTTCATAAACCACAAATGTTAAGCGGGATCATCCTGGTGATGGAAGATAGGGTTTGAATATTTGTTTTGCTTATCAGTATTTTTCCAGACTGACCGTATGTGTGTTTTAATATGTCAACTGAATATTATACAGGATATTAAAAATCAGTTTATCTTCCAAATCCTCACTGAGTGTTTTTCGCGAGTCAAGTGTTCCTACAGAAGAAGACCCAGGCCTAGGGCTGGAAGCTTTGGCTCCAAACCCAGCCTTCCTTCCAGCAGTCTGTCTTCACTGAGGTCAGGAGCTTCGGGGTCTTCTAGCAAGTAACTCAACCCCAGAGGCAGAAGATTCTGCCATCCATGCTGCAGGGGTGCCGCACAGGCTGACTGTGCGGTCGTGTGGGGCTGTCAGTTGGTCATGTAACCAGGCTGTCTCCTGGACCAGCCTAGAGGTGTGTTTACTTGCACGGAGAAAGGACAGGCAGAACATACACCTGACGATGATTATCAGACTGAGGTGGGAGGAGTGGTGGGATGTTAAGGTGCGTGTCTCTGTGCTGCTTTAGCCTGAAAACTGAATTCTCGGACGACCAGAATTACAGCATTTGTTGGTCAAGGAAACAATCCCTCAGCCAATAGCAAGTGTCTTTGCTGGGTCTCTCTTTTGTCCAGAAGCTTAAGAAGCAGGGAGTCATCGTGCAGGAAGCCTTTGTGGAGAGAAGCCATGATTGCTATTGGAGGAGATGGGTGCGAGGCTGGGAATGGCATCTGTGGGAGGTCGTGTCTGAGAGTAGATGCGGGTGGAGGAGGTGCCTGGGACCCTCCCGCTTCCTCTTGCCTTCTGAACCAACTCCCTGCCAAGCTCAGTGTGACTCTGTGTTTCTATGTGTGGATGGGGGAGGTGGGCTTGTTGATGGAGTTGGCTGCAGGGTAGACCAGAGAGGGAAAACAGTGAAGTGAGAATTTGTGAACACCTGTGGTGCTGGATCAGGAAAGGTGCGGGTGGGGATGGGAGCCGTGGGCTATACTACTGCTCTTTCCTCCTGGCAAGTGGGCTTGTCTGTCTGTCTCCCTTGCCGACAGTGTGAAGGCAGTGGGGATGGCTGAGATCAGCTCAAAATTTGGGGAGGGGATGGAAGAGGAAGAGGGAACACATCTGCCTTTTGCTCCAGGGCTTCAGCTGTCTGGAAATGCAGGAAAGGAATGAACCTCAATCTGGGCAGCCCTAAGGAAGAGGGCAGAAGACATAGACTCAGTGTGAGGGTACCTAGATGCTTGGGCCCTTCACACAGGATTTCTCATGGGGCTACTCCAAGCTTCTCAAACCTCAAGAGTATTCTTGTATTTCAACATCAGATAGCAGTATCTTGGCAGTCTGCTCTGGGTGTGAGATTCTGAAAGGGCCCAGTCCAACTGAACTCAACAGCTTCCTCCCATCTAAAGACACTAGGGTTGCTGCTCCTTTTGATTGTCCCTCCCCCTAAAGTCCTGGGCTTCAGAGGAGAGTCTTTCTCGGAACCACCTACATAGACTGTTTATAGATAGTCTCACAGTTTTCCCTCTGCAGACTCTTTGCTGTCTTTCTTGTTTTTGTTTTATGACCAGTGCTTTAGACTTGGTGATTTGCACCGATTCTTGGTGGCAATCCCTTGTTTTGATGATCCCTTTCATCAGAACTCAGCTCTATGACATAGACGTAGGATACCAAAGTTCTTTAGGAGAATACTGTTAGGGAAAATGAATTCTACTAGTCCCATTCACCTCTCTATTTATTTGCACATTTTATAGATTTGAAGCCAGTTAATCCATAAAGATCTTTTTATTCTTTTTTACAGCTGCATAGTACTCCATTGTGTCACTACCATAATTTATTCATTCTCCTATGTATTAACATTTGTTTCTAATATTTTGCTATTACAAACGATAACTGGTAAGAATAATCTTGTGCAAAAGTATATTTGTATGGTTGGAAGTGTATTTTCATGGACTCCTAGAATTGGGGCTGGTGGGTCAAATGGTTAGTGCATATGTAGTTTTATTAGATATCCTCAAATTTCCTTCTAAAAGGGTACTACAAATTTTCATCCCCACCAGCAACATGTAAGAGTGCCTGTTTTCCCCCAGCCTTGATAATCAAATTTTTATTATCTTTTTGATATTTGTAGAATATCTGATGATTTCACCTCTCTCATTCCTGATGTTATTAGTGATTGTGTCTTTTCTCTCTCTCTTTTTCTTATTTCTGGCTCGAGGGGTATCAATTTTATTGACCTCAGTGAATTAGCTTTTAGTTTTTTTTAATTTCCTTTATTGTTTTTCTGTTTATTTGATTGGTTTTTGCTCTTATATTTATTATTTCTTTTTTTCTGTTTATTTGGTATTTAAATTACTCTGCTTTTTCTAGTCACTTAAAGTAGAAACTGAGGTCATGGATTTGAGACCTTTCTTTTCTAATATATGCATTTTAGTACTATACATTTTTCTCTCGTGCCACTTTGCTACATCCTTCAAATTTTGATATGTTGTGTTTTTTTGTCAATTGAAATTACTTACTAATTTCTTATTTGGCTTCATCTTTGGTTCAAGAGTTATTTAGAAGTATTCTATGTAGTTCCCAAGAATTGAGGGCTTTTCCAGTTTTCTTATTTAATTTCATTGTGGTCAGAGAACATACTTTGTATGACTTGAATCCTTTTAATTTACTGAGACTTCATTTATGGCCTAAAATATTGTCTATCTTGGTATAGATTCCCTGTGCTCTTGAAAAGAACATGTATTCTTCTGTTATTGTGTGAATTTTTCTATAAATGTCAGTTAGGTTTAGTTGGTTCATAATGTTTAGGTCTTCTATGATATACCTTTACTTATTTTGTCTCTACTTGTTATTAAAAGAGAGGTGCTGAAATCTCTGACTATATTTGTAGATGTTGCCTATGTACAATTGTGGATATGCCTATCTCCTTGAAGTTCTATCACAGTATTTTTGTTACAGTTGTTGCTTGTTTTTTAAAATATACTGCTGGATTTAACTTGCCATTTTTATTTTTGTTCATGAATAAAATTGGCCTATAATTTTGGTTTTTTTTTAATCCTGTAGTTTTCTCATTATGGGTTTGTTATATTAGCCTCATTAAGTGTGTTTGGATAGCTTTTGTTCTTTTTCTGGTCTCAGGAATAGTTTATATTAGATAGAGATTGGCTGTATCTTAAAAGATACCTTAGAACTTCTCTCTAAAACCTACCTAATAGCTTTTAGGGTGGCACACACATTATATAACCCTTTATAGATTAAAAATAGGCTTTTCACAGTCATTATCTGTACCACAACTTATTTACACAGTTCCTTGTGCCCGGAGGAGCCACCTTTCTTACTCATCTTGTCCCTTCCCTCTAGTTATCCCCAGCTTCCTATAATCTCTGTCAAAGGCCTTTCCATCCTTCAAATGTTTTCTAGAAGGATATCCCTTTCATGGTGACACCCCTGTTCCCTCTCACCGACTCTATGATCTCTTACCTTCGTTTAATCCCACATCCTAATCTAATGACTTTATGTCTTCAGTTCATTCGTTAGACTATCCTATTTGATTGGACAATTATTCACAGATCTTCATGTTCTGCCATTAACATTTCTGATCCTTCCTTCTCTCTTTATCTTTGTGAATCCTTGCACCAGGTATCCACTGCTGGTCTGAGTCAGTGGTCATGTCTTACTCAAGAATCAAGCAAGGACCTCTTCCTTTGGAATGGAGCTGTAGCCTGGATAGTTTGTCTCAGAAAGTAACTATGAACTAGGTAGATACTGTTTTGAATTTGTCTATGACCCTAGCAGCATATATTCTTAATTTTTAAGTTGTTTACTAATAGAATTGGAGAATGTTATTGCATTGTTGTTTTAATATTATTAATGAGGTTAAACCTATTTGCAGATGTTTAGTAGCCAGTTGAATTTTCTTTCTTATTAATGGAGTATTTGTAGGTTTTCCCCATTTGCCTTTTAGAGGTTTTTGGTTTAGAGGTTCTTAGGTTTAAAGAAACCCTTATGGATTTCTGTACACACAAAAGTCTGTGAATAGTTCAGAAATTTTTGAAGAAAGTAATTTGGAGGTTGGACGGAAGTCTAAATTCTTTTTATCAACCCATGTTTATTAAAACAGAGTAGAATTGAATCAGGAAAAGATAAATGGAACACAAATAGAGATCCCACATTGTTACACTTCCCTCTGTGTAACAGAGATGAAAAAAGAAAGGATTACTCAAAGCGTCATGAATGCCATGAGAGGCCTGAAGTGACTGCACTTCAGCAACTCTCCTGTTAGAGGGAGAAAGCTAAATGTGACAGCCCTGATTCAAAGTTAGCATCTCTTTTTTGTAAAGACAAGGAAGTTTCACAAGAAAAATCAGTTGATTCAATCATAAAAGAAAGACATAAAAACAAAGGCAGTGTAAAACTAGTAACAGTAAAACTAACAATGTGACATTCCAGAATGTAACTTGTAAAAAGCTATCGATTCACCAACAAACAGCTTGCCCTTAGCAAACATTTTCTTTCCCTACAGCAATTTTCTCAGCATATTTAAACAACAATCAAGCAGCTTCCTTAACATATCTTAAGAATTAGTAGGTTAAACTGCACCAAAGA